TCCATTCTATTGTGTCCCCAGTAATCACAATGTTAGCCCAGGAGTGGAAGAACCAGAATAAATCCAAGGCTATGTAAAATATTCTCAGTATAAACCTTTACCATTGAAGAGAAATGTGGCTTTAGTGGAATCAAGGTCCTTCCTAGCCCTATCACGCTTAGACCAAGGCAAGGTGAAAGTAGATTTCAAAATGGAACTGCAACTGCCCTTTAGTAAAGGGATGGGGGCACATCAATGCTTTTTGGTATGTACTCTGGAGGAAGTGAGGTTTGCTCATCTCAGCCCCCAGCACCTTAGCAGCTCCTGAAGGAGCCCATGGCTGTTTCAGAGTAGGCAGAGGAAGTGAGGAGCAGTGACCCTTGTTTGGAAATCTCCTAAATTGGCTGACTCCCATTTACATGCTGTTTCTGGCAACAGAGATCAGTCTGGGTCACTTCTATGTCACTGAGTAAATATGCTGGAAATTATTACTATTTCAGACAAATGTTTAACTATTCTCAGATTATCTATGACACCACAGGCCAAAGTCACGGCAATCTAACCTGGGAGTGAGTTTACTTTACTTTGTGATTTATGGAATGAGAATTCTAGGCGCTCTGTGGGACTAATTTAATACAAAACATTCAGATGTCTGTCTTATAATGCCATTCATCTTTCCTTAGCCTGCCCGCACCAGGGGGCATGTGGTTCAGAGAGCAGGCTCTCCCTTCTCAGCCACAAATCATCACACTTGTGAAAGGGGGTGACGTGTCTTCTCTTCTAAGCCAGGCTGTCTGCAGCAGTGGCAGCGGAGCAGTTAAGGGTTCATTTGGGCACTGATGGGAGAAGAGAATTTTCTACTCCATCAGACCTCAGGAGCATTTTGAAAGTTGCAGTTGGCAAGGAAGGGATCATGATCAACCTTGTTTTGGTTTGCTTTGTGATGAAGGAAACTTAGGCTATACTGTCTTAACAAGTACAAGACTTGTTTTATAAGAAGTTTATGTGGTATTTTATGGATTGATATGATAATGCCTGTCTTAGCTCCAGTTGCTACAATGAAGTACCATAGCCTTATAAATAATAGAAATTTATTTCTCACAGGTCTGGAACCTGGATGTCAGAGATCAGCATGCCAGCATGGTCAAGTTCTGGTGAGAGCCCTCGTCTGGGTTGCAAACTACTGACTTCTCATTGTATCTTCATAGGGCAGTGAGCAGAGCAGATGAAGGAAACTCTCTAGTGGCTCTTATAAGGGCACTAATTCCATTCTTGAGGGCTCCATCCTCATGACCTCATCTGCTCCTGATTACCTCCTAATACCCTCACATTGGGGCACAGGGTTTCAACATATAAACTTTGGGGGAACACTCAGTCTAAAACAGTGCACGTGAAGAGAAGAAAATTCTACAAAACGTCGAACTCTGATTCAATGTGTATATTAAAAAGCAGGCTTTTAACCAATCAATTACTCTAAATCTTACATTCATTCAACAAATATTCATTAAGGCCTGCTATATAGCAAGGAATATTCAGGCACCGGGAATACAGGTGTGAACAAGCCTGGCCTACTTTCAAGGAGCTTAGAGACCAGTGGGAGGAAAAAAAAGACATCAACAGTGATAAGTGATAAGCAAAGGGGGCAGAGGGAACACATGGAAGGAAGTTTCTAACAGAGAGGAGTGTGGGGAGTAGTCAAGGACAATTTCTCAAGAAAGCTATAGGAGAAGAATGTGCAAAGGTGTGGAAATAAGAGAGAACACATGATTTGGCGGGGGGACTGAGGGACTGTCTAGGATGAGTGGGGTGCAGATCTCTGCGAGCAGAGGGTGAGAAAATAGAGACTGCGGGGCTCGTGGACACAATATTCCCAAGGGTGTTGGGTTTGCTCTTTGATGACAAAGGTGGGGGTGGGGTGCTGCTGGAAGATTTTAAGCAAGAGAGTAACATGATATGATTTTCATTCTGGAAAAATCATCTTGGCTACGACTTGGATTAAAAAAACAAATTGGAGAGCAAGAAGGCTGGGGTTGTACTATGGCTAGTTAAAAAATCATCAGGATCGTCCATGAGAGCAACGCCATGGCCTGCAGTAAGACAGTGTAAGTAAACAACTTCAAAAGACTTAGAAATCCCACAAATGAATCCCTTCTTTCTTCATAACAACGGTTGGAAATTGGTGCAATGAAAATTGCCCTTTGTTGTTGAGTCATTTCCTGAGCAAGGACCTGGAGTGCAAGGCGCTGTTGAGATGTCTACGTGCAGCTGCTGCCTTCTGCCTCATTGCTGGTGAGGACTCCTCCCTGAGAAGCCTCTTACGGACACAGCTTTAGCTCCATATCTAGTTGTGGCCCATAGCAACTTCTTCATGGGAACTGGGCTTTATCTAACAGATAATACTACTCCATGGGTGTCCTGGAGCATAACAAGGATTTACGACTCAAACACAGCAGACCACTGTCAAGCCCACTGAGCAGAACTCACATTTCAACATTGAGAAAGCTGTTAGCCAGGTTTACCTTGCAGAGTGGAGGGAGGGGGAGAAATGGTAATAAAAAATCAAAATCCACAATGGAATTCAGCCTATCAAAATGACTGCATGAAATAAGAGTCAAGGAAAGGTCTGATAAGGGCTTGGCATTCTGAATTGATTTGGAAAAATCACCTGGATGCCAGAGTGCCTTGAGTTTTAGATGCCAGGATATCCCTGCAAGATCCACTTCCTCAGACAGAGTTGGTTGTATTAAGAAGTATAACTTGTGAGTCCAACTGGTATCCTTCCTGATATTTTAACAAAAGTCAAAGATTCCAACCTCAAGTTTGTGTTGCTTATACAGCAAAGATCTCCCCATCAAGGCCAATTTTGAGGAGGTACCAAAGGGCAAGGCTCTCACTGACTAAAGAGAAATAGTGACAGCCTAGATAATTCCATTATTAATTTCATCCCTCAACGGTGAAGAGAGAAAAGGACCATAACAATGGCAGAACTATGGTCTATACTGAAAATGCCTTGGAGCCCCGAATGGCAGCCATGTCCACAGCTTCCTGAGGAAACCAACCCACACTGTTGCTTACAGGCAAGCTGTGCTTTGTATCATGTGATCCCTGACATCCTAATCTAAACGAATGAGTAAAAGGCTGGCCTCCGGCCATTCAGTCTCGTGTTAGAAGACACAAAGAAAGTAATTCAGATGGTAGAGTGGCCCTGGAGCCAAAAGAAATACAAAGAGAAGGCAGGAAACAGAAGCCACGAAGCAGCAGAGGCTTTGAGCAGAGCAGACAAGTAAGCAACTTAGTGTAATGCAGAAGAGACTGTGGAGAAGTAGAAAATTCACAGCAGAAGCAAGAAGCACCAAGAAACAACCAAGTCAAGAGCAGGAATGGTACACTACTGGGTGGCCATTTGGACAAAGACAAGCCATGCGTCTTGAACAGAGACCACCATGAAGCTCGTGTGCTGGGCTTCCCTGCGCATTCTTACTTCCTTGTTAATCCTCCCAACAAATCTCCATCACTAGAGGTAAATCGAGTATGTCTCTATAACTTGAAACCTGAGCGACTTTAATTTAATACACAGTATCTAATCCAGCTTTCATATTAGTTCCTTTTAATGGTTTCCCACTGCCCCCAAAAAAGAAAAATCCAAACTCATTAGCATGACCTACAAGGCCCTCCACAATTTCATGCCCACCCCTCCCACCTCACCTTATGGCTATTAATCCAACATTCTAAGCCTCTGCACTATCCCAAGTAGCCACACACCTTTGCATGCCCAGAGCCCAGAACAGAACAGAGAGTGCCTGGCATATATATATATATATATATATATATATATTAGTTCTTCAAAGAACTAATTTTCTTTGTATTTTTTGTCTTCTAAGGAAAGTGTCTGTCTCCCAGCCTATATGGATTTCATTCAGGGAGCAAGAGAACTGTCTTGGAAATTAATTTTTCTAAGAGCACTTGTTATTGAACGGAAATAATATCCTGTGGAATTTCACACTCTTAGATGAACATGCCAGGGATGTGGGTGGCTCAGGCTTCCATGTTAACTAGACTTAGAGCAAACATAAAGAGGTTTGCCACCCCCCCACCCCCGGCAAGCAGTTCTCTCAGTGAGAAAAGGGTCACTTCGGCAAATAGACCCCCATCCTTGTTCTAAGGAGCACCCTTTTTGTACATATAAAAATGCACAAGAAAACTCTTAAGAAGCTTGCTATTTTTCCCCACCCTCAAAATTACTCTACTCCTTGATATGTGCACCATAGCCCAGACATTATTCCTGTGACCTTTAAAATAGCAAGATGTTATCAGTATTGAAGGCAGCTTAATTAATATGGGAAGCTCCACTACCTCAGACTCACTTGTTTTGCCTCCAGTGTCTGGGTCCCGTTTACAATCTCTGGGTGGTCAGTCCTGACCCAGGAAGATTTCCATTATTTCTTGAGCAAATGGTGATAAGAAAACATGAGGACATTGAGACTCAAGCCGTCACACATGCAGCAAGTGTTTCTTTGCCTTCATAGTCCAGTGTTCTTGAAACTGGTCGTCAGCACTTGAGCCATGCCCAGATGATGGTCACAGAATTCCTGGCCAAGTTCCTCTAAGTGTGGTCAGCTAACCACTCTCCATCCCTGGGGCTTACTGAATGCAGACTGCCTGGCCCACGTCAGGCGTACAGAATAAGAACCTCTGTGATCAGCCTGGGACTGTGTTTTATCAAGCTCCCCAGTGAAACTTTGAGAATCATACTAAGGAAGCACCCCTGCTGATCCACAAATTGCTCCAGAAAGGATTGTTTTTAAAATAAAAGGTGGAATTTTATTAAAGGCCCTTAGAAGAGAAAAGCAGGGAAGACTGAGAAGACCAAGAGGCAAGGAGAGAAAAGAAAGGAAGGAAGAGGGAAAGAGGTAGAAGTGAAGAGAGAGCTATATCTGATCTCATCCTTTGGGGGCACCAACCCTGGAAGTTCTGGAAGATTCTCTCCTCTCCTCTATTCCGGTCCAACCCAGTCTGCAGGGTTACTTATGGAGAGTATGCCTTTGGGAAATTTCCTCTAAAATATAGCTGCTGGTGGTGGCACGTAGAGTCTGACTGCCCAACTGCCTCAGTTGGTCTGACAGAGATGACATCTTGAGAATCCACACCATGGCTAAAATGCCAGTATTCTTTCCCAGGTTCGAAACTTCTAGGACTGAAAAGGCAGGACCTAATGGATCCAGTGGGTTGACTGAACCTTCTATCTACCCTTAAACAAGCACAGGAATACAGCAGACAAGGATCCATAGCACATCCAATTCAGAATCACCGTTTTACTTGCCATATAAATATAATTTCTTGTCTTCTTTCTTCCTCCCTTCCCCGACCCAGTCACACCATGGGCGTAAGCACGTCCTCCCCCCTGGTATATTTCTATTTGCACATACAGTGCGGGGTGACAGCCTACGGAGAGCAGTTTCATATTACAAACGCACAGAATGAGAAAATACTGTAGCTGGCAGCAGGCCCCCACCGTGCAGCCTTGTTACACAGTCCGACCATTTACTTTCATCCGCACTTACCTGAGTGGTGGTCTTTGTTGATCTTCTTTGCAGTTGCTTATGGCCAAGCAGCCCCGAACCATGCCATTTAGGCAGAATTTTAGTTTATTGCATTGAGAACAAACAAAACGGCGGCTCTTATCTGCTTACCTAGCCTTAGGAGGCTTTGAGATGTGCTCAGAGCCAAGAGGGAACTGGAGCCATTGGTTTAACAAAAACAACTGAGGATCACCAATGGGTCCAAATTCCATTTAATTGAGGACATTTGCGTCTGATTTGTGCTGACCTAGAATAACACGGATCTGTGGGTTTTGATCGCTCTCTCCCAAGTGATGCCAGAAAAACAAAACAAAACGAAACAAAACAAAACAAAGACAAACAGCTGCCTTGGTGAATCACAAATCTCAATGACACTCAGCACACCTGGACTATTATTAAAGATTAGCTCATAAACACAGCAATAGCCACTAGCCACAATTTCTAAGTGATTCTCTTGTAAAGAGAACAAATTTATCTTTCCCTTTTTGTTGTTTTTTGCTTTGCTTCCTTAATCCACACACACACAAAATTAGTTATTATGAACAATCAAGAAAGAAATGGAAATTCAGGGTTATTACTCTATAAACTACCTTTGCATTTTGAATCATTACTAATGTGTCCTGTTTTGCAAAGCTGGCATAAGTACCCAGATAAATGCTTCTTATTTATAAAACACTGTCAGTAATCTTGAAATGTCCGTCAAACTTTCAAGCATATTACTTTTAGTCAGCTGGCTTAGAAACATGCAGCTTCACCCCAACACTTCGTCAGGCAACAAAAGCTAGAGGTGGGACAGAAACATCCAGAAAAGTCCTCCTGAGGAAATCACAGATGCTGGCACACTGTTGATTAACATCTGGATCACCTTAAGGGTGTTTGTGAACCAGCAGGAAATAAATTTCTGGAGAAGACCATGGACTTGAGGATGGTTGTTTTAGTATTTAATAATAAATGGTTTCTAGTTGATAGGAAAACATTGAAATGTGACTTATGTATACGCAGCTGATTCAAATTTGATAAACATGTCCCCAAAGGAAATTACTGGGTTTATTAAAAGCCTAGGGAGGCTGAACAGAATTGCAATAGTCTTATTCAATAGTCCTTGCTGAGGTGGAGTAACCGCTCCCCAGTCCACCTTGCAGCCAACCAAGGAGGACGGTCAATAATAAGGAAAGAGCAGGGCTGTCCTTGGTCTGAGTTATAAGTGGGTATGAACTGCCGAGATACCCTGCACAAGTAAGTGTCACTGCCTTGCTGGTAAAATGTGATGTGTTGATGACTGTTATATTACATCTAAAATCCCATTTACTAGTAATAGAAAAGTTCAGTTAAGAGTTTTGCCTTATGTCTCCTGGTGCTTGATAGAGCATTGTGTGATATTGCCAATTTTCGCTTCAGGCGTATTCACATGCAACAGTGAAGACTTCACAAGAATTTGCACATTTGATCCAGGGTGAAATTATGCCATTTTCATAGCAAATCAACTTTTCTTTGGCAGCAAAATGATAGGTACTTTTGCACCTAGAGAAATGCCTTTGTTTTCAAGGAATTTTGAAAAAATAAAAAAATAAAAAGGGTTCTTTGTCTATGGGGATTGTGATCCAGTCATTCTAAGCAGAGGCCCAGCAGGTAAGAATCCTGTTGTCCTGCTTTCTGACCTGAAGCACGTTCCTTAACCTTTCTTATTTTGCCTTTCTTGTTAAAAAAAAAGAAAAGGAAAAATGGGGGTCACATGCAATCTTTCTCTCCTATGTGTCACTGTTCTGGGATGCCTTCACATCTCTAACGTTGTACAACAGTGTCTGCAAAAGGGCAAATTGCTGTGGATGTAACATGTGAAATTTCACCTCAATGTGCTCTCCTTTTAGTGGTGTTGGAAGCAGCAGGAATTTATTCATGCAGCCCTACTGATTTGCAGACTGGGAGTAAATACCAGGCCTTTTGCAGCGATTACCAAGAGCCCCCCTTCAGTAGACATGATCTACTGCATCACATTAAAGTGGTGGATTGAGGAGTGAGCCAGCTGAGCTATTCTGTACACACCTAGCCAGGTTGCAATTTATATTCAGGCAGAGCTGTGAGTGGCTTTCAGAGGAAGAAAGAGAACAGTTCTCTGGAAATTTTCAACCAGGATGGGAAACCAAACTCTGCTTTGTCACTGCTATTTAAAACAACAACAACAAAAGATTCTTTCTTCATTGCAGGAAGAAATTAACAGATTAAGTTTTTCTCTTCTCTTCCTGTAGTGTTGCTTTCTAAGATTGCTAAGGATTTCCTTTGATTCCTTACGTGACTTTTCTTTTTAACAGTGCATAGATCCTTTCTCTAAGTTCTGTTTTGAGGACACAGTCTATGACTCTTGCTTACTGAGTTTAGTCTGGAATTACCCAGCTTCACTTGCGTGAGCAACATGTTCTGCAGCTGTACCCCATAAAGAGTTCTGCATTGCTGCTACAGGCCAAACTGAAGGGAAATTGGAGAAGGAAAGATTGATTCACGTGGTATTCAGTGGTCACCAGCCATCTCATTTTTATTCAGTAAATATAGGATTTTAACATGAAAGTTTGGAAAATATGGTGGCTGAACCAGAAAAATGTCAGTTTGGGTCAAATTTAGTATTAGGTGGTCAAACAGTCTATTTTATTATTAAATTACATATATATATATGTACACACACACACACTACTTGACCCCACTAAATTACATATATAAATACATACAGTGTATTTATAATAAACAAATATAAATTACGTGTGTGTATATGGGTATGTGGGATGTGTGTGTATATATACATATAAATATAAAATATTACTTGACTGCACTAAATTATTTTTCAATAATAATAATAGTTTCCTGATTTTTTCTGGAAGAAAATACATCTGAGATAGTTATTTTACTGACATTATTTTGTCTAGTTTTGTTGCCTTTCCAAGAACATATTTGAGGCATCAAATGCCATTCTATATAAAAATGTGGAGGGTAATAACTTTTTTAAAAGAACCATGAGAGACTATGGACTCTGGGAAACAAACTGAGGGTTCTAGAGGGGCGGGGGTGGGGGGATGGGTTAGCCTGGTGATGGGTATTAAGGAGGGCACGTATTGAATGGAGCGCTGGGCGTTATACGCAAACAATGAATCATGGAACACTACATCAAAAACTAATGATGTAATGTATGGTGATTAACATAACATAATAAAAAAACTAATGATGTAATGTATGATGATTAACATAACATAATAAAATAAAATTAAAAATTAAAAAAATTTTAAAAAGATACTATACAAAATTAAAAAGGATGAATAATTGTCATATGATCGCAAGCATGTGAATGTACACACATAGGTTACCCCAGCAAAATACAGCACAAAATGCAATGGTTCTCATAGAAATTAACTGTGTAGATGTACCGGAAATTGCAGCTTGTCAGGTTGTGATGCCACGATGTTTGTGGCTTCGGGGCCCTGCTGCCTTCGGATTCTGGCATAATTTGCTCTGACCTCCATCAGTTGCTTTAACTCTGTTAAAAAGATTATTTTGAGAGACATGTCAATGTATTTATAGAAAGTAATTAAAAGTCCAAGACGATGAAAGCTCGAAGATCCCTCAGAAACCCTTGACTCCCACGCTGGACTCTCATTACACACTTGACTTGCTTATCACATCAGATACGTGTTAACATTCTTTGGATTTCTACAGAATGGCAGTTCTGGAGAGGGCTTCCTTCCAGGCTTGGTACAAAGCCTGAATTGGAGGCTAACCTGGGAGTGGTCTAGAAACCGAACCCAGTGAAAAGAGGGGAAACACAGCAGTGAGAACAGTGTTCCAATTCGATGACAAATGGCATAAAGCACTCTTAATTTTGTTGGGGGTTTGTGTGAAAGAAACCATTCTAACAGCATCTGATTTGTTTTGACAAATCAGTGTGATTCTTTGATGACTAAACTTTCACACGCTAAATGTTTGTATACTAGAGTGCATAAAATAAGTCATTATAGCGTGGTTAGTTTTGAAACTCCCAGGCTGCCTTATTTTCTACCACATAGTTAAGCCAGTAGGTCACAGCAAAACTTTGAGTGGAATGATTACTTAAGTGTCCCTTCATAAATAAATAAATCTGTGTGTGTGTGCCAGTAGCATTTCTCTCTTCTTTTTTAAAACATTCTGAATATTTAGATTTCTACTTAATGATTATTTCTAACTTAATTATTTCAAGAAAAACAATAAATGTCAACTCATATAGTAAAATAAATTTCTGAAGAACAACTTAATTAAATTCTTCTATCAGTCAGATTTCCTAGAATACATATCACCCATGGAAAAGAACTTAGACAATTGGGGAAAACCACTAACCCTTTCACCAGGAAGGTAACATGGGAACCTACTTCCAGAGGAAAAGAATCAACTTTCACATCATAGTAATCCATGTGGTCACAGAACTGAAGATGTAAAAATAAATATTTGTCTACACAGCCTTGTCCTTTGACCACAAAGCTAACATGGAGGAAAACTGTAGGGAAAGTAACATTTGCATTTCTTATTTTCTCTCTCTCCTTCATTTTTTCTTGGTAACAAGCTTGCTTCTGGCAAGGGAGCCTACATTTCTCTCTGTGTTTTGGATATCCTTTTGGCCAGTTGCCTGAAGCATACTTAGCTTTATCTATCAGAAAGGCCCAATGAACACAATGAGGCCAGGAAGGTAGGGGCCAGGCAACAGAAGACCATCCCAAGAGTATAAAAGATTAAGCATAAACAATGAAGAAACTGGAAAAGTACCTCCTACTGCACCACTTGTTTGCTTACTATTCAATTGTACTATAATATTTCAAGTGTATTCATATACCTAATTAGATTGAAAACTCTTTTGGGGAAGGAAGCTTGGCTTATATTTCTTTTATAGGGCTATGTAGTTTGGCAACACAGAAAACTGTCAACTAATACTCACTAATGATAAGAATGCCATCATTGGTGTGTTCTTCTAAGTACCCACATAATGAGGGTCACCGAGAGCTGGGGTGAGGGGTAATGGTGAATGATGGGGACAACAGCCTCCAGAGAATACAAAGATTAGAGTCTCTTCCTTGATGTAGGATGGCACTGGAGGCATATTTGTGGCATCCCTCACAGCAGTGCTAGGCATCCCAATAAATCCTTGTCTTCCTACATTTCAGTCTTTATTCCTATGCTTTTGTCCTGGGCTAAATGTAAAGATATGATTGCAGCTGTTTTAAAAGGTTCTGGTTTCTGTACCTTACATATAACATAGTAATAACAATTTTATGGTGACTTTTAAAAAGAAATAATATAGATGAACCATGAGAGACGATGGACTCTGAAAAACAAACTGAGGGTTCTAGAGGGGAGGAGGGTGGGGGGATGGGTTAGTCTGGTGATGGGTATTAAAGAGGGCACATTCTGCGTGGAGCACTGGGTATTATGCACAAACAATGAATCATGGAACACTACATCAAGAACTAATGACGTAATGTATGGTGATTAACATAACAATAAAAAATTAAAAAAAGAAATAATATAGTATTAGTTCTTTTAGGGATCCCAGGTGATTCACTCCCTAATCTTTTGATTTCCTTTAAAGTGGTATCATGTTCTTCAGAATTCCTGAAAATCATACCTACCCCCAGAAAGGGGCTTTAAATTCCTCAGGCAAACAGGATAAAGGACAAGAATTGGTTTAATAACAAATATATGTTCTTTTCCATTTCTATCACTTCTAAAAGAAAATTAGCAAAGAATAGATAACATAATAAAATGAGCATATATATTCTTATTATTAAAAAAAGAAATCTGCAGGGGCACCTGGGTGGCTCGGTCTGTTAAGTGTCTGACTTTGGCTCAGGTCATGATTTCAGAGTCCTGGGATCAAGCCCCCCTTCAGGCTCCCCGCTCAGCTTGGACTCTGCTTGTCGTCCCTCTCCCTCTGCCCCTCCTCCCCCTGCTCATGCTCTCTCTCTCTCTCTTTCAAATCAATCAATCAATCAATAAAAATATTTTTTTAAAAATCTGCAAACTGTATAGTTGCTATTAATAAACCATTAAGTTTTAAATAACTTGAAAATAGGAAGTCAACAGAACCTTCTTTCCTCAGGGTTCATGTTAAGGGAATACCTTCAAATGAGGCCATTTAGAATTTCTGCAAATAAGCCCCTTGGATAAGGCTCAAGACTAACAGAACTTGGAATTCTTGAGTGTAAACAATGTCAATAGTGAGTTTCCAGCACAGAAGTATATAAATTTAACTTTAGTAACATGGAGTAGAAAAGTGTGGAAGAAGATAATTATTAAAAAACATCATGTTGGGAAATAAAATTTAGAAAGCAAGCTCCGAGAAACAAACTGAGGGTTTTAGAGGGGAGGGGGGTGGGAGGATGGGTTAATCCGATGATGGGTATTAAGGAGGGCACGTACTGCATGGAGCACTGGGTGTTATACAAAAACAATGAATCATGGAACACTACATCAAAAACTAATGATGTACTGTATGCTAACATAACATAATAAAATTAAATTAAATTAAAAAAATTAAAAACAAGAGACTGAATGTTTTAATTCTTCAAAAACTTGATGGAAAAGAGACTGTCCCCCATACCTTTTTGGGTTATAAAGCCACGTCCTGTGGACACACAGATGACCATGTCTCGTTCTATGTCGTCCCACGAGTGAATTGGTTCTCCACTGGGGGTGTACAGTGTTCTGGCTGGGCGGGCCAATTTAAGACGTGAGGAGCAGTCATCCAGCAGCTGAAACACAAAGGGACTGATGTATTGGAATGTGAAATGTCACAACAATAATTAAGTCTTAAAGAATCAACTCCTTTAAGAGAACTATTATCCCAGGTTGAATATTTATTTTACTTGTGATTTTTAGAAAGAGGTATAGAAGGAGTGGGAAGAAGAGCATATAAAAGTTCCCCAAAGTGCTTTAACATGAAGAACTTTAGTGCTCTTAGTGGATTTTTCCTTGTAGTTATATTTCCATGTGGAAGAAGTCTTCTTGCTGTTTAAAAAAAAAAAAAAAAGCCTGAATATGAAAGACCCTGGCTTGAGAATCTAGACTTGTCAGAATAGCAGAAAATAATTTTTTTTCAACAAGCAAGGAACCCGAAGGACAAAAGCACTGACCCAGAGGTGGGGAGACCTGGGCCTCCGGCCTCTGACTTCAGACTAGTCAGGCAACTTCTCTACGAGAAGAGTCTCTTCAACTATAAAATCAAAGTTTTGATCTAAGACCTCTTTGATTCTCTGATTAGAAAGTCTTTTTTTTCCCCCTTTTAACTTGGAAAATTTAAAAACTATCTGTAAGAGCCTTATTCAGTTTCTCTCAATTTTCCTTGAAATATTCATAAAATACATATAGAGATACAAAGTGTCAATGGTACTAGAAAGATTAGTCAACATGTTGCCAAACTCCTAAGGGCAGTTCCACCAACGTGTGAATAAGACTTTAAGACAGAATAATAAATGCAAGGAGGAGGAAAAGTAGAGGTTTCTACACACTTGCCTGTATGACTTTTTCCTCCCATATATGCCAAACACCTGTTCCTCCAAAATGCAGGAGCCAGGTCCATGCAAGCCCCAAAGATAGATCTATTTAAGGGCCACAATTCGTGACAATGTGGCCTGGCAGGGGGCAGAACTGGGCACATAATGACACCTTGCATATGGAAAATGAATCAATAATATGAACAAGACAAGACAGTGATGAGACGATGCAATCAGAGAGTACAGATTTCACCCACTACTTTGGGCAAGGGATGAGTGAATTGAATTGAATAAGGATTGAAATTACCCAAGAATACATTCCCTTCTGATCGTCAGAGAAGAGCAGTGGGAGAGTGGTCTCAAATGCAGCCCCAGCCGTCCTGCTAGGTAACAGCCGGTCAGCAGCAGTCTGACTCCGTATTGTGCCTATGAACCAGCCCGGGGACTTCAGATCCAGTAGAGGATCCTGACAGCTCCCAAGTCAAAATTTAGGGCAACCAAAGAGAACTAATCTATCCTGTCTTCTGTCAAAAGATCTCTCCTTGTATAAGGGGGTATAGATAAAAAATTAACAACAGCGACAATATGAGGCTTGTGAAAGTATTCTACAATGTAAAAAGCTGTATGTTTTACACTATACTCAAGGTGAAGAGTTAGAAAAAGATTTACAGCAGGAATACGTTTTAGAGAATAGCTGTATTGGGTTTTCCCAAAATTCAATAAAATATGACTTCTGTAAACACACACATACACACACACACAGAAATTAGAGATGACAGCAGTTTAAAGGAAAGAAGTATCACTGAGGTATGGGCAAACATGATGACGATGACAGTGATGATGATGATGATGATGGCAACAATAACAGCAGTTAACATTAACTGACACATTTCTATGGGATAGAAACTTTTCTAGAAGTTTCCAAGGACAATCTGATTTCATTCCCTGGAGAGAATTATTATCTTCATTATATTGATGACAAAATTGGAGACCAGAGATTAAATATCTTAACCCAGGTCACACAGCTAGTAAGAGAAAGAACAGGGTTTCAAACTGGGATGAATAGAGAGCTAAATGAAAAGAGGAGAGAAGGTAAGGAAATAAAAGACTCAATAGTAGAATTAAAATCTGTCTTGAAAGCAGAAAAAGAGCAGACTGAATATTGTAGAAAATTAAATCAGTATTAGGAAGGACTAGGTTGAGAAAATCTCATAGGATATAGAGAAAGCAGAAGACATAAATTTTATGAGAGAAAATTTAAACATCTGGAATGTCAAGACATCAGATATTAAACCTATACATTATTGGTGTTACTGGAGAGGAATTCAGAATAAATTAAACTTAAGCAACTATCAAGAAAGAAAAAATTGAAGGAAACTTTCCTGTCCCAAACAAAGACCCATGTCTTCAGACCAAATAGGCTAACTCAGGACAAGGCAAAGTTAATGAAAAAAATGACTAACAAATATAATTGAGTTGAAAAGTATGAATTTCAGACATGGTGGAAAATTCAGTTTTATTTAGACCTGTTTTCTGCAAAAATGAATGCCAGAGAAAATGGAATAAAATATGAAGATTTAGGAGAAAATGTTTTAACATAAGAATTCTGTATCCAGCTGAATTATTACTTTTGGTTACAGGGAATAAAAGATATCCTCATGTATACAAAAGATCAGAAAACATATCACCCACATACATTTCAGATTATTAAGGAATGAATGAAATTCCTTCACTATGGGAAAGTCATAATATGAAATGACTAATTGTAAGCAGTGAGACCACTAGAACATGATATAACTGCTACAAAAAAATGGCCAGAAAATAAATGAATTAAAAATTTTAAAGTCTTCATAGAGAAAAAAATAAAGTAAAAATGCAAAGCATGATCAGAAAGGGACATGGGCAAGGAAAAGAAAACCAAAGCATTCCAACTTTCTAGTTATTCATGAAGTCAAAAGATGCTGTTTTTTGTTTTCCTTTGTTAAGAACATTTATTTTTATGATTATAACCAATGCAATAAAACCTAAAGTCAGAATAAGAGAAATAGTTCATCTAAAAGAATAAACAAAATCATCATGTGAACTTAATATGATTTTATTCTTAGAAAATTTATGTGAATCACATAAAATATTAATAACAAGAGAAAAATGTTTAATAAAGTGTCCAAGCACAAAATAAATTATAAAAAATTAATGGCTTTTTTTGTTCACAAAAATAGGCATTTAGAAAATAGAATGGGGGGAATCCATCCTAACAGCAAAACCAATTAGGAATGACAATTACTTTAAAATGTGAGATGTGGGGCTCCTGGGTGGCTCAGTTGGTTAAGGGTCTGACTCTTGATTTTGACTCAAGTCATGATCTCAGGGTCATGAGGTTAAGCCCCACATGGAGCTCCCCACTCAGCGCAGAGTCTGCTTGAGATTCCCTCTCTCCCTCTCCTTCTGCCTCTGCCCTGCCCACCTCCCATGCACTGTCTCTCTCTTTCTCTCTCTCTAAAATAAGTAAATAAATCTTTTTTAAAAATTACAAAATTTTACTGAAGGACAAAAAAAGGTATTTATATGTATACACACACACACACACACACACACACACACACACAAAACGATGCCACAGAATTCAATCTGGCTGTGAAGATTGAATATCAGAAAAGGTGTTGATTTTTATGAAAGTAATTAATAGCCTAATACAATTACAGTCAAAACCCCAGCAGGATGTTTTTCAGGTGTTGAAATATAATTCCAAAATTCATCTATAAGCATCAACATGCAAGGATATTCAAGTAAAATTTGAAAACAAAGTACAATAGGCAATTTCTATCAGATATTAAAACATAATATGAAGCTATAATAATTCAAGAAGTATTAGATACGTTAGATTGTTTAAGAACAGAAGCTAATTGAAAATTCAGTATGTTATAATATTTGTATTCCAACTCAGCTGGGATTAGTCAGTAAGTAGGGCTGAGATAATAATTTTAAGCCAACAAGCAAAGCAGAGAAGTAGCTTCACTCAAATTTTACACTAGAAGAGAGTTTCACACAGTTTAAAAAGTAAAAGAGAAAAACAAAATTACAAAAAATTTGAAAATCTGATGAATCTTTTTATGATCTCAGGATAGTAAAAGACTATCAGAACATTTAAGAGCAAAGAAGAAACTTTTAAAATATATTAATTTCTGTACATTAAAAAAAACCATAGACACAATGGCAAATTGGAAATTTGTTACAATAAATCTGATAGAGTTACATGTAATAGGGCTGATTGCTTTTAAAAAAGGAAACCTCATATCAGTGTGAAAAATACATCCAATAGAAAAATAGCAAAAGAATTTAACAGGAAATTCACAGATGACTAATAAATGATAAATCAAGTCAAATCAAATCAAATCCAAATAACTTATACAATCAATTAAAGACATATAAACGAAAGCATGGATATAACATTCCCTCCTGTCAAAGCTGCAAATACATGTTTCTAAATGACTGCATTTAGCATTGTTAACACCTCATGTATACAACAGGTAGGTAGAAACTCTCATTCACTATTGGCAACAGCTACCAAAATTCTCAAGCATGTTTACATAATGGGGACCGAGCAATCCTTCTAAGAATTTATTTGGGGGAAATAATCAGAAAATTAAATGCATTTATATGTATATTATATTATATATATATTATATATTATATTATATATCATATGATTTTATATATATCCATTGGAACATGCTTTATGACAGCAAAAAATTAGAAACAACCAAAATGGAAAACAATAGAAAACTGAATGAATAAATAATAATCTGTCCATTTGATAGAAGATTACCATACCATTAAAAATAATTCTTTTGTTAAAGAATGTTAAGTATATGGTGGAAAAGTTACAATAATAATGCAGGTTGCAAAATTATATATACCATGGGATCTGCTATGATCACAATGGCAGAAATAATTTATAACTATATAGCAACCATAGAAACATATCCACTAAAATTATAACTGGTTATTTATGGATGATAGAACTTTCATTTTCTTCTTTGCCCTTTTTTCTTTTTCTAATTTTAATTCAGTGACTACATGTTTTTATATAATTTGAAAACAGAACAAATGTTATTCAAATAATCAAAAACTTCATAGAGATTATAATTGATTCACATGGTTTTTCTTTGTAATTTTTCTAAATTTTCCATAACAATAGTCACTGTCCTAGTCTGCTCAAGCTGCCAAAATAAATATCATAGACTGCGCAGCTTGAACAACGGAAATTTATTTCTCACAGTTCTGGAAGCTGGGAAATCCAAGAGTAACGTGGCGGCCGATTCAGTTTCTGGTGACAGCTCTCTTCCTGGCTCTTTGCTGTGTCCTCACATGGTGAGAGAAGTGAGGGCTCTCATTTCCTCTTCTTACAAAGGCCACAAATCGTATCAGGTTAGGGCTCCTCATTTAACCTTAATTGCCTCCTAAAAGCCATATCTCTAAATACAATCACACTGGGGGTTAGGGCTTCAGCATAAAAATTTGGCGATGGAGGGCACAATTCATTCCATAGCAGTTAGTTTGCTTTTCTGCTTTAAGACAACCAACAAGTTATCAACTGGGTTTCTGTCTGGGGTGGGAGCAATGGGGAACTGTCCTAAAATATGTATGAATAGGTCTCCAGGAAAAACTCTTGCAGCTTGAAAAGATCCTAAAGGTAATTCTTACATTTTTTTTCCCGACTTTACCACTAAAATGTCACTATTTTATTTATGAAGATGTGTATGCTGTTTATAATTAGAAAAATGAATGTTATTTAATAAAAAATGTATACTAAATGCAAAATATGAATTAAACATATAGCTATTTCACTTGGTTTTCACAAAGATCTATTTGCACGAGACAAGGTGAATGACTTCACAAAATTCTTTTAAAAATAAATGTGAAGGGGTGCCTGAGTGGCTCATTCGTTAAGCGTCTGCCTTCGGCTCAGGTCATGATCCCAGGGTCCTGGGATCGAGCCCCGCATTGGGCTCTCTGCTCAGCGGGGAGCCTGCTTCTCCCTCTCCCACTCCCCCTGCTTGTGTTCCCTCTCTCACTGTGTCTCTCTCTGTCAAATAAATGAATAAAACCTTAAAAAAATAAAAAATAAAAATAAATGTGAAATAAGGCATTTTCAGTACAAACAGGCTCTAAAATATCTAGTCAGCTCATGACCTTCAGTGACATTCTTAATTCCTAGTTTTTCACGTGTCTAAACTTACTCAGGTATCTTCTTTACAATGTCATCTAAATCATATGTTTATAATTTCTGCAATAACAAAAGCTCATAATAAAGGAAAAACATTCTGTCCACAGTTCCTCACCCACAATCTCTTTTGGGAGTTTAGTCTTCAGAGACTAGTCTCAGGATGGGGCACGCGGGCACCATAGAACTATTGCAGACTCCCTGCCGGCGTGAGGTACTCGCCTGGAGAAATCAGAAGGACCCATTTCCCATGCCTTCGGCTTCTGCTTATGCATGGGGAACTGTGTGTAGCGGAGAGAACACACTGGTTTTGAGGTTGCAGGGATGGGAGAAGACAGACGCTTCAGGACCATAGAAGGGGAGGCTGGGCAACCATAAATCAGAGAAAGATGCCAGCCCTGAGGAAAGAGCCACTAACCGTGGAGAGGGAGCCGCCTTAGTGCACTGATGACAGATGAGCCTGCGCCGGTTGGAGATGAGAGGTGCTCCAGCAATGTTCAGAGTGGGTAGGAAGAATGTGGTTAAATCATCCAGAATGGCCACAGCAGTGAGAGAAGCAGAGAGAAAGTCCGCATTACAGGGGATTCAAATACCATCTGGGGGTTTTAGTACAGAAAGTCGAGTGAAGCACTTTGAAATGTGTTCTGTTCCTCATTTCTCTGGTAAAAGTACCAACCATTGAAATGGAGTTTCTTTGGAACTGGTGGTGTTCGCCAGACTCCCCAGTGAAATCTGAGTTCTACTCTTCCTCCTGTCTATTTGTTTCACACGTAGTCCACTCTCCAGACATATTCTTTATAGCCTGGTAGCCGGAACAGAAACGTTGCTAACTGAACACAAAGGATCTCATGCAAGTCCCCAAATACAAAAACAGACAGCATGGAAAAGAAAGGGATAGATATCAGAAAGAACATTAAAAAAAGAAAAATAAAGCAAAGGAAGAAACAAAATGCAGAAACTTTCTAGACATTTGCTAAGTATCTTTCTACATACTGAGACCACATTAATCTCCGTAACACATTGCTTATACGATGCCATTACCTTATGCAGAGAAAGCTAGTGGCTTAAGCACTTTACTCTGGGAGAGTGTAATGGACTGAACTGTGTCCTCCCCAAAACTCATAGGGTGAAGCCCTAACCCCCTGATACGCTCGTATTTGGAGAAAGGTCCTTTAAGGAGGCAATTAAGATTAAAGGAGGTCATAAGGGTTGGGCACTAATATGACAGGACTGTGGCCTTATTAGAAGAGGATGAGGCACTAGAGATCTCTCCCTCCACATATGCTCAGAGGAAAGGCTATGTGAGGACACACAGTGGCGAGGTGTGGCCATCCACAGGCCGGAGAGTCCTTTTCAGAAACCAACCCTGCTGGCACCTTATCTTGGACTTTCCAGCGTCTAGGACTGTGAGAAGTAAATTTCTGTTGTTTAAGCCACCCAGCCTGTGATATTTTGTTATGGCAGCCCAAGGAGACTAATATAGATAGCATGCGGTGTCCACCATATGCTTCTAAACTATCTCTCTAGTAGTATGTGTCTCTCCCTATTTCTGAGTCCAAGCACTATCTATGTGATATGATTTATGAATCCTAACAACCATACCTTTGTGTTCAGTGCCCCTCATCCTTATTAATGCTTTTTCTGAAACATTAAGATACTGAGTCTTACCCATTTCTCAAGTTTCATCAGAGATCCTGATTGATTTCTTCTGCGGAGCCTTTCTCCTTCACCCCAGGTGGGCAGCGTTCCCCTCCTCTGAACTCCTACTGAACTTCCTGCCTGCACTACTAATTTGACCTTTATCACATGCTGTTAGTACTTCTCTGAGAGCAATGTCAGATCCCTTAGCTAACACATTTTTCTTACAATCTGTATTCATCATTACAAAATATGGAACACAGAGAAAAATACACAAGAAAGAAATACCACCTTTATTAGCTCACCAACAGTCAGACCATCTGGTAAACACTTTCAAAAACTAAAATACTTTGTCTTCTGTTCTAAGTGTATGCATGTGTATATACAGAATCCAACTCCACATGCTTTATGTTATGCTTCTTTGACTTAGTCTGGAACATCAACAATAGTCATTATTCTTTCCAAAGTTGATTTTAATTGAGTCATAATATTCTATCCTATGTACTATAATTCACTTAACCAATTCCCCATTGATGACTGTTTAAATTATTTCTAATGTATCTGTGTTATAAATACCCTGTGATAAATATTCTTACCAAACAGTCTTTGCATAAATTCATTAAAATTCCCTGGGATAAAGTTCTAGAACTCTTCTGAGGTGCACATCCTACTCTATGTGCCCTTATGAGCTTCCATGAACTCCTCCGGGTCAGTCTACCGCCCTGTCTTGCCTTCCCTCCAACCAATATCTCATTTTTATACGACTTCCTCTTGGCCCAGAAAAATTATATGAAAACATTTCACAAAATAAAAAAAAAGCCAATTATTTGAAATATCACCACAAGATAAGACTTTTAAAAAGTCTATCAAAATCCATTTATTAGTTGCCTAAAGTTTTTATGTAAAGATTAAGGCAAAATGTCAATTTTTAGGACTATATCTTTATTTATTTATTTACTTATGAGAGAGAGAGAGAGAGAGAAAGAGAGGGAGAGGGTGCAAGCCGGGAGAGGAGCAGAGGGAGAGGGACAAACAGACAGGAGGCTCCATCTCACAACCCTGAGATCACGACCTGAGCCAAAATCAAGAGTCAGAGGCTTAACCAACTGAACCACGCAGGCACTCCGACTACATCCTTGATATTACAAAAATAAATGAACTGCTACTCATCATTTCCTTAGTCAATGTTTTAACTTTGGAAAGTGGAAAGTTTGCCGCAGTTCCAGGACTCTGGGTAGTAAGAATATGATTAGGTTTTTCTCTAAGAATACTGTTGTTTTCTCTACAGAAAACATACCTAGTGAATAATTCCTGATGGGGAAACAAATTACTCTTTTGTGAATCGGGTTTTAAACACAACAGGAAAACTATTTACTCTTTTAAAGTTTAGATTTTCCTCTTTGGCTACAGTGGATTTAATTATCATTGGTTCCTCCTGGCCAAATGTCATATTCTGATTCACACACTTGTTGGACAGCATTGAGCTCGTTTAATCATTATATCCACATAAGCTCATTTAATCATTATATCCACCCTGTGAGGAAAGTAATATTCCCATTTTACAGATGAGAAAATGAGGTTTAGAGAGGTAAAATAATTTGCCTAACCTTACAATCTAGAAGTGCCAGAGCTGGGATTTGAATCCAGGCGTTATGAAGCAATCGCCTTTCACTCTAGATTTACCTCTGAAATAGTTTTGCCCCAGGCGTAAGTGCCATCTTCAGGTCGGCCTCCATTTAGATGAATCCATACTCTTTTTGCATCCGGCTGCTGATACAGGCTGCAGTACCTGAGTGCGGGATGTGCAGTTTCAACTGGAGAATTCCTCTTGACTTGCAGTTCTTGAACCGCAGAAAGGTGCGCCTGGTAAGAAAAGCCCAGAGAATACCGGGGTTAGAGAATTGCCTGGCTAGTGTGCGTATGGAGAATGTGATGAAAACAGAAATACTTATAATTGCAAATTATATTTTAAAAATCATAGGCAGTGTATTACCCTCTCCTGTCACTGACTCTTCGGTACATTCCCCTTGCTTCCATGAGTCACCAAAGGCAATAATAACCATTAGAGTAATAATAATAAGGTACTTATTTTGGCAAAACACTTAACTTTCATTCATAATTTGGTGAAATGAATGGAGATGTGTTTTTGGACTTCTGTGTGGTGTTTCTCCTACTGAGCAATTTCTCTGCATCTAACAAATGAGTTTTTGATTAGAATAACAATATCATTTTCTTTAACCAAGAGATGCTTAAGGGAATGTGCACGACTGTTGTTTGAGTCTTCACTCTCTGTCTTTTAAAATATAGCAGCCACCCTTATACTTTGCCAGATCCCTGCCAGGCAGCTTTTTATCCTACTTCAAGCATGTCCAGTTCAATGCTTTGCATTCATTCCCTGGTCAGTGATTTATCCTTCTCAGCTTGGCAAGAAGTCATACTTCTAGCAATGTCAATTTCTTTTTTCTAGTAACCTTGACTTGGGCACACGCCTAAGATTTAGATTGAACACATTTCACGATTTGAGAAACCCTATTAAATAAGAACATATCATTTTGATGAAAAACTTCACAAAGCAGAAAGTTTTCCCAGGTCTCTATCCCCAATCCTCTCTCAACAGCTGACCTTTCTCTTCTCAACTTTTTTATGTCTGGCAATCCTGACTGATTAACCAATTGGACTGAAACTGCTTTTTGAATTCCTCACTCCTGAATGTCTCCATTGCAATTAGTATTTTGCTCCTTGCTCTTTCTACATATTGAGACATACCCTTAGGAGTGATGAGCAATGAAGCCATAAGGCTCAACTTGACTACACTTATTATAATTACCTTTGTACATATCCACTGGGCCTTTTTCTCTTCTTTGCTAAGATCATAATTTCTGGTCTCCATTCAAACAAAACAGACTTTCATACGAGCTGGCTGTCTTTTAGATAACTACTCTCCAAATGCCAACTCAATGCTTGGCATATGCTTATGTGGTCATAACTGACCAGATGCTGGGGATATATTAATAGCATAATTTTAAAATTCAATACTATACTTTTAAAACCTTATTAAAGAGGCAGTCTTTAATGTCTGGAGTCCTGAAGAACATACCTCTGTATGTCTTATGAGTTCCATGAGTTTAATTTCCTCTTGAGTCTGCTCAGTCCAGCCTCCCTCCACCACCACCGGCTGCACGGGGCTTTTGTTGGGAACCATGGCGGCTGGCTGACATGCTGTTACTCGCCGCCCTGGGGAAAGAAGTCCCTGGTAATGTTGCTTCTGAAGATGGGCTTTCGGATTTCAAGTAAATTGGTTTGGCATTCTATGCATAAATCATTCCACTTGGGAGCATAGGCTAAAATACTATATATATCATAAAAGCAAAATGCCTAAGGTAATAATATTTAACAATGCCTCTTCATATGGGAGCTTGAGGCTTCAAATAGCCAGGATATGCATATTCACTGTACAGATGGAAAAGAAAGATAACATGCTGAATTCCACACTGGCCCTGGCCTCTCCTGCATGATATGGTTCAGTGGTAATTTAGTCAAATAGAATCCATGACCTATATAGCCCATCATCTCTTCCAGTCATGGAACATATGTTTTGTTCTCTTCACTAATAATAAGCCTTTCCCCAACAATTAGCTTAGCAGCCTGGGGATTAAGTAATTCTAAAATAATATTAACCCAAGAGACAGGAGGCCTTTTTTTCTATCTAATAATACCCGCAAGCATGATTAGTTTCTGACACCTCTGCTGTGCCCTTTAGGTTGTTAAAAAGATGTGGTAAGAGAAAATATTTATTGGAATACGGTACTCCAAAGAATAATAGGCATAATTTAATAAGTGTGTTGATTTGAATGTATGCATTCTTTCAACTAGTGTACTTAAAATCATTATAAGAGAGATTTAAAAATCATACTTATGAAATTGTTTTCTTTTTCCATGTTGAAGATAAACTCACACTGAGTCTCATACTGATCTCTAAACTTCTTAAGTAAAAATAATGCTTTCTTTTGCAAGTTCCTTCTAGAAACTTATGGTGAGCACCAGCTATCAGTCAGGTGTTGTGCTAGATAAGGCTAATACAAACATTTTCAAGATTTAGTCCTCTCTCAAGTTTGGTGGGGAAGGCAGATGACAAGGAAATGATTGATTGCAATTGTGCTGCACCAGAGAAGTACAGGATCTATATAAAAGCATCTAACAGGGGCCACCGCCCTAGTGTGAAGTGCCGGAGAAGACTTCTTTGCAAAAGTAATGCTGAGGTGGATAAAATAATAGAAATACTAACTAAAATAATAGAAATACAATTTAGAGCCACCCAGGCGCCCACATCTTCTGTATTTTTGCCTGATCACTCCACCTTCAAAATGTCACCATTATGCATAGAATAGAAACTACTGTCAAGACTGGAAGCAGGAAGTCAAGTCACAAAGCTCTTCTAAGTAATCCAAAGAGTAGATGACAATGGCTGGAATTTAGATAATACAGTTGGGGATGGAGACCGAATTCATTTGAGAAGATAGATTGGAAGCAACAAGACATACTGATATTTGCCTAGGGAAAGCGAGAGAGGGGGAGATGCCAAGGATAACTCCCAGGTTTCTAAGATGGAACATCTGGGGGGATGGTGGGTCCACTGCCAGAAGAAATGAAGGAGATACTGGAGTGGTGATTTGAAAACTTTAGTTTTGGGCATGCCCATGGGACATTCTAGTGAAAATGTGTAGTAGTTGGAATGGTGGACACTACCAGTCATGAGATAGATGCTTTTCATGTACACCCGATAATTCTTTGGGAAAGAACTGAATAATTGTCATTTCAGCCCAGAGTTCTGTCTAGTACACTTATAACTAGTTCTGTTGCTTATTGAAGTAAAATTCACGTGCTTCTGACAACAGACAGTGTGCGTACTTAGGAGTTGAAATCCTATCATGGCAATTACAGTGCCTGAAATGTATTCCTATCTATACTAAAGTCCATAATACTCTGTTTCTCCCCAAAGAATCATCTGGTATCTAAAGTGCTAGGAATAGTATAAGATCTGGAACCTAAGATTCTGTGACAAAGAGAATGAAAGAGGAGAACAAATATTGCCAATTGATCACTTTGACAATGAATAGCATATCTTACGCTGACTAACATGAAGAAGCCCTTCTGAGATATTAATATTGACCTTTGAAAAATTCAGTACTTCCTAACTCAGATTATAAAATAAACAAACAGGGGCGCCTGAGTGGCTCAGTCAGTTAAGCTTCTGCCTTCAGCTCAGGTCATGATCCCAGGGTCCTGAGATGGAGCATCAGGTTCCCTGCTGAGTAGGGTGTCCGTTTCTCCCTCTCTCTTTGCCCCTGCCCAGCTCGTGCTCACTTTTTCTCTCTCTCTCTCTCTCAAATAAACATTTGCGCATGCTCTCTCTCTCAAATAAATAAATCTAAAAAAATAAAAAATAAAACAAAACAAAACAAAAACAACCCCCAAACTTCTTCCCCAGCATACCCAAGGAATAGACCAAAAGTTTTGCTTAAGGACTAATTCCAAACCCCGCAAAATGTTAGTTCAGCAACTGTTTCAATTCCAGCATAAGGGTTATATGACCTAGACACTCTCCTAATTTTAAAAATTTACATAGAATTCATGTGGTATTCATTTTAAAAGTTGCAAATATAAAATCAGTACTGAAAGATATATTATTAGGTTTTAGACTTGCTCAAGTGACTTTTGTGACACAAAATTTATAGTACTCAGTTGAACATCTGGTATCTAATAGTAGGAAAAAACTTCCAGCAAATTGGGGTTACATTTAGAATTAAACATGGTGATACTTGATTTAGTTCATACTGACCTTTTAACAGTCTCATTTTGTGTTTCATGGTGTCTAGATCAGCCAAAATTTTGTCCTTTTTTAGCCAGTTCTGTTTTTCTAATTTTTGGGCTTTCTGCAAAGCTGGAAAAAATATATGATATTTTATCTTGCATTGTGTTATCAACAGTAATTTATCATGCAAGCCAATAATTTATAAAGAACTTTCTGCTCCAAGAAATAGATTCAATTAGAAATAAGTAATTAAAAGGTAAGGGTCATTAAAAGAAACCTCATTTGAAACACGACAGGGCTTAAGGCATTTCTTTATGGAATGGAGACGGGGGGGAAGAAGAACAGTGCTGTTTTATTATATAGATTTACCATATGCAGTAGCCATATTTCATTTTCCACTTCCACAAACTATTTGGAGGTGATGAAAGCCTGGCTTGGAACCATTCATTTTTTAAACATCCACCTACTGCCTAAAGGGTGCAATTCTTAAAAATGAAAATGTGCAGACAGGTCGTCTTCAGTGTGAATTAAACTCATTTGTTATTTTCTAATGTATACCATTATTCTCAGTCTTATAGACCAAGGATCTCTTTATCAACTAAATTAGACATTTTTCCATGCAGAATACTCCATTCCAGTAAAAAAAAAAACAGGCAACTGTGCAAATATGGGAGTATAGCTATCCTTGTGCACATATTAATTGATGGACCTCCTGTTCTTTGCGCAAATGTGATGTTATTATGCTGGCATTATACACATTTTATTCTTTTCTTACGGTGACATAAAATTTATTTCTCTCTCCCTTATACACCTGTTTGAAAGCAAGCAAAAACAAAAAACTTACCCTTCGGAGATAGAAATGGTTCACCGCAAGATACCCAGATGGCAATGGGATTTCTGAGGACGAGAGTGAGCAAAGACTTATCTCTACCATCCAAACTACTGGATGTCACAGACTTCGGACACAATTTGGTTTTCACTTTCATTCTTGAGTTTTCTAGGAAACAAATGGCCCGTTAATCAATACACAATTAATAATGAATAAATTTGCCTCCTGAATTTGTTTATTCAAAATATTTCATTTCTCATTAATGACTTGATTTAAACAGGTAATACCTAAACCAGATGCAAATACATAAATATGATCAGAAACTTCATATGCGACCAAATAATTTAAGCTAATCTGATTGTAAATATACTTTTAAATTCCTTTCTTATGCTTTACTAGTTATGAAAGAAATTTGAGATGACTTTACTAAAATATCTACTCTGAAGAGGAATAAAATAAAGAGATAAGAAAGCCAAGGAAAGGAGGAAAGAAGTATAGCAATAGGGCTAAAGCCAGAGATAAAATGCTTCAGTGTCCTTATCTTTTAAATGAATAATAGATTCTAGATATCTCATTCTGCTGTTGGGAAGATTAAAAGAAAAAAAAAGAAAGTGCTTAGAATAAATGGTGTTTGGTCTATTTAATTGGACGAGCGTCCAAAAAATGCTAGATAACATTTTTGTTATTGAATGGACATGAAAGCCACACTTTTCATTTGCTAGAGTGAAAGCACAGTTTGGGTTCTAAGCATTCCAGTGGCCCAAGTAAAGAAGAAAACACAATTTCAAGATTCACATGGCCCATACAGAGAGATAAATTCCTCAGAAGACACAACTTTCGTGGCCCTGAGATCTGAGAGAAATTTATTTCAGGGTCTTCGTAAGGGAGTTATTTGTGAGGTAGCAAACAGTATCCTATAATAGAAATGAGGAATATTGAGAACTTAACAACATGTTGGGCATTTCACTAAGACCTCTGCATATATAATTTCAGGTAAGTCTCAAAATGATACTCTGAGTAGGTCCATTCCTCTTTTACAAAGTAACTGAGGTTTAATCACATAGCTAGGTAGCAGCAGAGTCAGGATTAGAACGCAGGCCATATGCCTCCAGAGCCTGTGCCCTTAACCACCATCTCCATAGCAAACATGATACTCAGTTTCTGACTGATGTCTGTTTTTTTAAAGTTCCTCAATGCAAACTGATGGCATAACGTAAGCCCCAATTCAGTAAAAGGAGGCAACCCACTAATGGATCAGCCTGATTCAAGGATAACCTCTAGAACATAGAGAGGAAGGGATGGCCGTTCCCTTTTAGTACTCCAGCATGAATAACATTACTTCCAGTCAAGGTTTAAATAACAGTTTGAAAGAAGAGCCTTTGAGATTGTAATCTTCCAGAACCTGGAGATCAGATATGCTATATGCCAAGTAAAGGCCAAACTATATGCTTTAATGATTAGCTAGGCATTAAATGTTGACATAATTATTTTTAAAAACTCATTAGAAAACAGGACAAGTAATATCATTGTGAAATAATAGAAAATATATATATTGGTCTCTGCCCTAAGTTCCTGGCAGAAAGTTTCTAAAATTCTGGTCATTTTCTAAGTGATAAGAGCACTAGGAGCATCTTTTGTTCTAATATTTTGTCTTTGATCCTGGTTCCCGACACAGATCCTAAATCCTTTGGAATTTCCTGGATGGTAGCAGTAGCTTGTTTTCTAACAAGAGCACTTTTGGCAGGCTCTTGGATGAAGGCTGTTCACCAGGAAGACCAAGCCATGATTAGAACCTTGGAATTTTCCATCCTACACTTCATTCTCCAGAGAAGGGAGAGAGGCTGGAAATGGAATTAGTGAACAACCATGCATACATGATGAAATCCCATAAAAATCCCAAAAGTACAGGGTTTGGAGACCCTCTGGGTTAGTGAATGCATGGAGATGGTAGGAGAGTGGTGAGCTTCGAGAGAGCAGAGAAGTTATGTGCTCCTTCTCACACAACTTGCCCTACTCATCTCTTCTACCTGGATGTTCATCAGTATTCTTTATCATATCCTTTTATAATAAACCAGTAGACAGTAAGTAGACTGTTTCCTTGAGTTCTGTGAGCTGCTCTACCAAATTAATCGAACTGAAAGAAGGAATCATGGGAATTTCCAATTTAAGCCAATTGGTCAGAAACACAGGTCTGGACATCTGAAGTGGGGGATGGATCGGGGAGCAGTCTTGTGGGACTGAGCTCTTAACCTGTGGGATCTGAAGCTATAACCAGGTAGACAGTGGCAGAATTGAGTTAAATCGCAGAACACCCAGCTGGTGTCACAGAATTGCTTGGTGTGGGGAAAAAAACACACATCAGGTGTCAGAAGTCTTGTGAATGTGATAAAAGTGTGAGAGTAAAGGAGAGATACACAGGAAGAAGCGTGGGTTTTTCCTACTCAGCTGTACACACAATAATGATAGCCAATATTCATTGAATGTTTAGTAAACATCATCCGGGCACTACTTTAAGTGACATATACATTTATATATAAACTCCTATTCATATATGTTTTTATGAACACATGTTCATATTTATGAGGACCAAATGAGTATACATTTACATGACTCTCAGTGTGCAATTCATAAAATGAGGAAACTGAGGTCCCAGAGTTTAAACAACTTGCCCAAGATCATTCAGCTAGCAAGGAACAGAGGTAGGATCCGAACCCTGGTATTCTGGCTCCAAAACCCAAGTTCTTAATCTTCAAATCATGACTCTCAGTACAACAGTGGAAATCTGAGATCACTCCGCTGAATCGCTGTGAGTAAGACTCATTCGTATTTCCCAAACTGTTGCTGGGGACGGAGTTCCTGCCCTCAACTTGTACATAGTTTGATGAGACACACAAAGATGTAAACGGGTAATTATAATACGGTGTGCTGGGAGCTGCAGTACAGGTGTCTTCACTGATGCTTCTGGGAGTTTAGAGGGGCAGTGGCGATGGGCAGGGGCCGGAGGTATAGAGGACATCCTCTTTTCAAATAATAGAAAGAGATTTGCATTGATCCAGCCCCACCTTCTTAAGTGGTCTCCAGTTGGTTTTGGTTTTAAATTTAAAAACAAAAGCTGCTCATGTTATATAAAGTAGCTAAGTTGTCAAACATATTTTATAAATTTGAGGCAATTTATTTATTGTTTTGGTGCTGAGACCAAATTTACATTATTTGTTAACTTTTTCTTATCATTCTGCAAGGTAAAAGCAATACAAGAATCTCACATGAGAGAAGCTTCCTGTGATTTTATAGTTCTAGAAAGGGGTGATTGAGTCACAGAATCACATTTAACTTTTTTATGATGAAAAATAAGGATCAGCTAAATCCTGTAGAATGTAACCAACCTCTCATACTTTTAATAGTTGTCTCCTTTGTTCGAACAGACACTGCCTCTTTCTTTTGTTCCTCAGTGTTTCTCTGGATGAAAGATTCCTTTAGAGCCCATAAAACCAAATCACGTAAGGAAAGGATTGCGGTTCCATCTTTGGTATATACTTTGGAGGCTGCTCTGGTGAGACCAAGTTGCTCCGTGCATTCTGTAAGAAGCTAAATAACACAGATTGTAAGGAACTGATGAGACAAAAGAGTGATAGGGCTGGGAATAATTGTGAGGAGCTTGTTATTTTAGAAATTTGAGAAAATCCATTAATTTGCAAAAATAGAAAGCTAAATAACTACCGACTTGATCTTTAATTAGAGACAATTTTTGGTATCAGACTTCCTACATAAATCTCACAAAATTAGTCCACTCAACCTGTGAAAATTAGCTCCAAAAATTTAACACAGCAGCTGATGTATGTTAATACATTTTATCATCAGAGTGTTTACTTCCTAAGAAGTGTTCAATTTAGAGGTTCACTTTCAACTTTGTTGCTTTATAAGGTATAAAATTGTAACACTTTGTATTGATGAACTGCTTTAAAATAAATGAGTAGTTGACTTTCAAACCCGAACTAACATATATTATTATTTTCATTTTGCAGAAAGGAAAACAGGTTGAAAAGTTAACATTTTTGTCCGAGACTACAGAAGCCAGTTATGGAGCTCAGGGTGAATCTTGGAGTTGCTAACTTTTGTGATTTGCTTAGTTCACTGAACAATATCTTAATAAAAAGGCTATTTGTATTCAACCGAAAAGGTGAGCAAACACGTAGGTGTGTATGTGTGTGTTTGCAAGGACCTCTCCAGGGTAAATCCATATCATATTTAATGTTGCTTATAAAATATGCTGTTAAAGGCATTGGCCAGAATGTATAGACCAGAGAGTCACCAAGAAAAGGAAGGACAAAGGTGGGTTTGAACCTCTTGAGCTCTATCACAGAAACCATGTTTCTTCCTAACACAACTCTTGCTTCTCCGATTTGAAAATGAAATGAAACAACCTGTCAACAAATAAGTGGTCAGATTTTCCAAATGATAAATGAGGTAGCATCTCTTAGAATATTCAGATGACATATAGCTTGAAGCTGGAAAGGGAAAGAAGGTAAAAAAAGGGGGAGGCATTCTTTCTATCATACAAGTGAAGAAAATCTGATAGCTTGGTTTCCCCCTGCTTTTATGTATCTTTGCTCTGGAGCCAATCTAAAAACCTGGTTTCTGGTTTCTCATTTTTCTAAGTCTGTATCCAAAGAAATACAATAAAAAAGAATATCTTTAAGAAAACAGAGATCTTGATCTCATCAGCTTAAATTGGTGAAACTGGCCAGGGACATTTATCACTCAATCCCATTGCTTTTTTCTTGTCAGAAGAATCACTATTATCATTACCTCGGAGGATGCAAGAAACATTTAAGTGATAGCTACTTACTGTGGGGAATGTTCTGGCCACAATTAACTTCCCATTTCGATATCCATCTCCATTTTTGTATGCAATTATTTTCACTGCCTTCTGGTGCATAGCTGATGTACCACTATGTGATACAACTTGCATGCAGGTCTTCATCCGTAAAGATAATAGACATTCTTCATAATAACTGAGCGTTTTCTCAGCCTCATAAGAAGATAAATCAGCCTGATTAAAAAAAAAAAAAAACACAGAGGTCTATTCAAGCTTTTTACTTTAGTTTTTGTTATTTTGGTATATTTCAGTCTCTTAATTTAATAAATATTTGTATGTACCTGTGTGGTATCTAAATTTTGAAATGCTCACCCCGCATGCTATAGTATAGGTATTGGATACCACAGTGGGAAGAACATTGGGTCAGAGCTCAGTTCTCTTCCCAGCCCTGTCACTGAGTCTCTAGGTGACGTTAGGTCTCTGGCTTGTGTGTCTGGCCTTCTCCTATTTTCTACTTTGTCTTCTCTGTGACAGGAGTTGGGGGAGGATGCCAGGGCCAGAGAAAGCCTGGCGTTGAAGTAATGAGATGCTGGCACTACAGATAATCTCTTCCTCTTTAACTTGAGGATGACGCCATCCTGTGGTGGCAGATATGATGAATGGGGAGGGGAATGAGTGAAGTCCTAATCTACATGGTAAGGAGGGTTGTAAATACCACACTTCACCTTTCCTTTTCCATCCCTACTCAGGATGCTGCTTTGAAGGAAAAACCCTGAGATGCTTTAACACTGGGGATTCTTTCCAATCAGCTCACCAGCACCTCCTTAACCCCATCATCACTAAAGCAAAGCCAAATGCCTTCAAACTTCCCCGGAGGACTGACTTCTTTTCACCGTCAGAGTTACTGTTGCACTTGATGTTTACTGCAACTGTTCCTATACCCTTCAGACCCCTCCTACCCTGCACTGTGTATCCAGTTTAGGAGAACAAGGAGAAAAGATCTGGAAATGGAGAGAATGAGCCCTGGAGAGCACACCAAGTTGGAAGGTTCCTCTTAGGAGTTTTTCCTTTTTATTTTTTTATATTTTTTATTTATTTTATTTTATTATGTTATGTTAATCACCATACATCATTAGTTTTTGATGTAGTGTTCCATGATTCATTGTTTGCGTATAAAACCTAGTGCTCCATGCAGTACGTGCCCTCTTTAATACCCATCACCAGGCTAACCCATCCCCCCACCACCCTCCCCTCTAGAACCCTCAGTTTGTTTCTCAGAGTCCATAGTCTCTCATGGTTCATTTCCCCTTCTGATGTCCCCCCCTTCATTTCTCCCTTCCTACTATCTTCTTTTTTCTTTTTTTAACATATAATGTATTCTTTGTTTCAGAGGTACAGGTCCGTGATTCAAGAGTCTTACACAATTCACAGCACTCACGATAGCACATACCCTCCCCAGTGTCTATCACCCAGCCACCCCATACCTCCCACCCCACCACCACTCCAGCAACCCTCAGTTTGTTTCCTGAGATTAAGAATTCCTCATATCAGTGAGGTGATATGATACATGTCTTTCTCTGATTGACTTATTTCGCTCAGCATAATACCCCCCAGTTCCATCCAC